AATCCTATCTGGGGTCTGCTACTGTGCCAATACTTTACACACATGTGGTAGCTTCTGTTTATTGTTATCCAACATCCAAATAATACCCACCTTTAACCAAACGAGAGAAATTCTAGCAAAATAATGCCCACCTTTAGCTTCTGTTAACTTCCGCCTCCCTTGTGGAGACGGAAGGAGCCAGTTTGTTACCGACACTTGTGGAAAAGACGGAATGATGTAAATTGAGGTAGTGGTTTTAATCAAAATACCCATCGAAGCAACAACCGTTATGGGATTTACCAGCAACCTACACATTATAATCAGGGCATTTAGCTTACTGTTTTTGTTTTTGGGGAGGAGAAAGACGATGAACGGTAACGCCATCCTCCGTTTTTGATTTGCAAATTTATAAAAGGGGCAATTTGGTTAAGGAAAATGATTTTTTTTACCTGTTCATTGTTTTTGTAATATATTTAAAAACATATACGAATTTGCAATTTCATGAAACTTTATTATTATTTCTTTTTTGTAAAAAGCTCTAACTTAATGATTTAAGGGACTGTTTGGCAAGTCTTTTTTTGAAAAATCTTCTGTAGGCTTTGAAAGTCAAAAGACGACGTGAGCTTTTGCATCAAGATTTTAACAGCTTGAAGGTTGTTTGATTAAGGCGTGTTTTTTTGTATGAAAATGAGTTAAAAAAAAAGGCGAAAAGCTCCATTTAGAACTTCCCAAAAATAATCTAAAATGGGCTTTTCGTGTCTTTTAGCAACTAGATCTTTTTTCAATCAAACAAGAGAAGACTAAAACACAAGCTGCCAGGCTTCTAAAAAGCCGATGGCCCGTGTGAAAAAGGTGCACCAAACAAGGCCTTAACCTATTGATTTGACATCTAATTCAAATGGGACAAATCAAAGGAAGAATGACACTTGGGGTCTGAATTTTTAGGTTCAAAGTATAGTTGGGGTAGGTGCTTGATCTATAAAATGGGAGTATTTGATATTTTGAATTTTTATAAGTCTGCATTGAAATTCAGAAATCTACAATGAACCTATCCTTACATTTTCATAAATCAAATGGAAAAGTACAAATAAGCCTAATGCAGATTTCTGATTTCCACTACAAAGCTATAAACATTTAGAAGATCCAAAAATCATAATCTATGCATTCATACCTGTCCATAAATTGACATCAATTCCGAATTGACACCTAATCCGAATGTACTTTGAGCCTACAAATTTTGATCTTGGGATTATCGGTTATTAGATGGTCATTTTGATTATATTGTATTTTGAATTGTCAACCTCAGAATTAAAAATGAAAGTACTTGATAACTAGAAATTTTTAATTCACGGATGCTCTTGTAGGGGGTGTGGATAAATAAATTGGGGAATTAATAAATGAATTATGAGATGGAACGGACTATTAAAAGGCCGATATTTATTTGTACAAAACAATATTTGACACATATTTTAGTGCAAGAATATGGAACATTGCAGTCTAAAATTGTGAATTATGGCCCTACCTTAACATAAAGGGGGACCAGAACAATGCCATGATTTCGCAATTTTAATCCAGCGCTTCTCCATATGGAATAGCTGATTTCTTCTTGATATTTTTTAATGGATTCCAAGATGGTACCATAAAAGCACAACATCTAAGATGCGGTAGCCAATCAGTTGCTACTTGTTACAACTATAGTGTAATGGCGGTGGGATAGGATAAATTTTTTGGGTTATCGACCGGCATCATAAAAATAGTAACTAATTACTTGGATTTTCATCTAAATTTGATTGGTCAAAGCTTTTTCGTATCATGTCTTTTGGCATCATAGTTTTTTCCTAATAAAAGAGGATGTTGGTTGAGATTGGAATTTGAAATCTCCTATTATGCCAAATTTTATTATTCTTCTATTTCTCTTTTTATCTTATTGTCACCATTGATCCTGGTTGTTGAATATTTCGCATTTGTTTTTCCCTTAAATCTAAGATCAATTCTAGGTTTTTATTTAATAAATCACCTGAATCAATTTTTTATCATTCAAAAAGGTTGTATTTTGTACCATTGCAACTTCTACTTGCAATGTCTTCCGTTGGTCACTACAAATTTTAGAAAATTTGCCTTATCATATAACTACTCCCACTAAAAAAATATGAGCATTATATTGGGTGTTGACATTTATATTAAAAACACCAAATTTGATATTTCCTTAAGAAACAACAGTAGTACCAAATGTTGTATTGATCAATCTAAAACTTGTAAGTAGAAGTGACAATGATACCAATTTAAATCATTTTGCACATAGAGTAAAAGTTTGTCCCATGTGACTGATGTGGTCAAGAAAATGAGGCTTCTATGCCTCTGTTTGGTTCAGTTTGTGTGGGTAGAGCGATAAACCAAGTCCCTATATTTGACAGTTCAAAGAGGGCTGTACTGGTGGAATTCAGATTTGCACCTCACACCATCTTTACACTACATTGCAGATATGTGTTAGGAACATTCCCCATGAATGACAAAATATATGTGGGGGAGATGTTTCAGGAACCAATTGTGTTTCATATTGATGATTAGTTCAGATATGGTTTCAGTAGTTTATTATTATATCTTTCCAGAATCATAGATTTACTAATTTATTGCACAATATTATCATATCGTGGTAGTGTTGTTGCCACTTAAGCAGATGCAGCAATGCTAAATAACATTTCTTGTTTGGTAAGGTGTTTCTTACCACCGTTTTTCCAGAAAACGGTTTTTTGTTGGGTTCTTGTTTTGGAGGGTTCCTTTTGTTTTTGTCCTTATTGGATTTTGTTTTTTTATCCTCTTGTAGTCTTTCTTAAAAACATGTGAAGACCTATTGTCCCATATTGCTTGGAAAAAGAGTTGGACTTGAGTATATTACTAGACTTGCTCTCTCTATGGGTACGTGTGCACCACACCTTATCTTTTTCTCGTCTGACCATTTGGATTCAAACCATTTTAATTATTTTAATTTGTTTTTTACTTTTAAAAATGATTTCTTTTGTGACTCTTAATTTTTGGCTTTGTATGTCTCTTCAAATAGGGTGCCTTGCACATTATTCTGGAGAGATCTCTCTCTGAAAGAACACTTTTATGTACTGTCCATACAGGTGACTGAGAGCACTCTATAAATAGAGTGTTAATCAACCCGGTGGAACAGAACAAAACATCACACAACCACATTCCTCTTCATCCTATCCATCGCCTATAAGATATATGAGCATTTTCCATTGGTGATTTGCGAAGGTCTGGTAAACGAATGCACAATTACCAGAAGCCTTGTAGGTTGTTTCATCTTGAAAACCGACTTGCAATTACTCGACTACACCATTGAGGAAAAATATGGTTTTAAGGAGAGTAACCAAGTGGCATGATTCAACCCATTTTCAGACTGCATTTCTCAACTTATCAGTACCGGTTTTGCAACATTGTTGCACTTCAGCTTCAAAAAGCACCGAACAATAAGTTCCATTCTCCCTTATAATTACTATTTTACAGCATTTTTCAGCCAAAACATTTTTTTAATGTTTTCTTAAAAAATGACCAACCAAACAAGGGTTTCGACTGGTAAGGTCAAATGCTTATCTAGCACCAGTGTGGAATTGGTTTTGAAAAACGGCAATGGTGACAAACATCCCCTAAATAAAAATTTTAAAAACTCAAAATTTTCCTCATTAGTTAGAGATTTAGTACCCAAACCAAATTTGATCCAAGAACATACAAAATTTCAGGATAAATGGACAAAGTTTGGGTCAATGGCTGCAATGTTTTGGGTTTGGGTGTTTATCAATTGATACGAGTCAATTACTCAAGGAGAATAACACCTAAAAATTGTAATTCCTCTCGAGGCACTTCTTTTTTTAGTATAACTACTTGAAAAACTGATAAAAGAGTCCAACTACAATGCATTTATTGCATGTTAAATCAAAATTCCAACCAATCACATTAAAGACATCAATCGTCTATTTATTTTTCATTAGTTAACGTTTCACAAGGTATACTTACCATTAAAGACTTCAACAATGTATCAGTATCAACGCTAAATATTCAACTGTGTCACTTTTCAAGATTTTTGCTTCATGATACAGTCGGTTCATGCATCATAAAATTTGCCTTGACAAAATTAGGTTTCATAAAATCCAGAACAACAGAATTTAGTTGCTTTGGGCTAATTCCATTTCCACAGACTCAAATATAACCTGATTCTATTTTCTGTTTGAAGAGCAGGCTTTTTGAGAAAGCCTCTACTTTGCCTTCCGGTGTTGTCTAAACTCTTAGATGGAACCATATCTTGCTTGTTTTTTATCTAACCCTTAGAACAACAATGGCAGTGGCAATGCCAGAAAGCTTCCATTAGAAATGCCAGAGAAAGATTATGTAGCATGTGTTAATAGATGTTTTCATTTATTTGAATACCTTAATGGCTGCAATTAGAGCACCCAGAATTCGAAAAGGCTGACATGGCAAATTCAGATAGCTCTTTGATAAGGTTCTTTCATTTAGTCATTTATGTAATGACTCATATCAGCCCCAAATGGTAATTATGCTATACAAATTTAGTATCTTCATAACAAAGGAGAAATGGCTACTTCCCCCGCATGACAAAGTGCCAATTGATCAAAAATTGCCAAATGGAAAGAACATGAAGTTGGGTTACTTTCACTAGGGTGACATAACAAACAATTGGAATGCTTTCTGACTGCCAAACTCTCTCCAATTGTAAGAAACCCTAGTAATTTGATACTCTAACCTGAAGTTGAGACAGAGGTTAGAGAATTAACACCCTAGAGTGATATTTTTTTTTTTTCATTGGTTCAATCTACTGATTATTGGCAATAGAATGGAAACTAGCTTTTTTTTTTTCCATTTCTACATGGGTATAAAGAACTAAAAGTAGCTCCCTTACCCTAGAAACTGAGTGTTTTGAGTCAAGAATTTGTGGGCAATGATTATGACTATTGACTGACCATGCCAAGAGAAGGGTTTCATTCAGATCAACACAACACTAAATTGCAATTAAGAGGTTGACTAATAAACCTTATATTCATTAATACAAACATCATTTACCCTCCTTTCACTTGAAATGATTATGAGGGGAGAGAGAATATCAGGAGTTTCAATTTTTCTCCGATTGAATACACAGAAAACTATCTAACAAAACAAATATACCTATTTTCATTTCATCATCAAAAAAAGAACAAAAGAGATGAGTCAAAGGGAATTACATTAGATGGGGAGGACCTTCTTGACAATCTCATCACTGAGAGCGGCAATCTGAGAGTCCAGAGATTTGATGGTCTCTTCCTTCTGCTTCTCCAAATTGGCAAGAGCCTCAGCCAACTCTGCCTCCACCTTCTTCCTTCCCTCCGCCAGCTTCTGCTCCACCTCAAAAGTCGTCTCCTTCTTCATCTGATTCAAGGCCGCCGATATCTCAGCCCTCGCTGCCTTCATGATAGCTGCAGCCTGCTCCTCCAGCTGCTTCACCTCTCCCGAGGTGTCCTTGACACTGTTAAGCTTCTCCTTAATCGCTGCGTCCCTCTCGTCCATGAATTTCCCAAGCGGAGTGAAGTAGATCTTGTCGAGAGCAAACATGAGCAGCAAGAACTCCGCCATGATCGCCGGCAGTGTAAGGTTGAAGTCGAACAACGCCGCTTTCTCTATCTCCGCTGCGAAGGACGGCGGCGCCACGGCGAAGAAGGCTGCAGCAATCGCTGCCGTGGATTTGAGGGAAGAGGACAATGAGACAATCTGGCGATGCTGATGTTCTGAGATTTTGATCTTGGGGTGAGATAATTGGGAAAGTTGGAGTCTGGGTTTTGTTGTCGACGCAGTTGGGAAGGATGAGGCTGTGATTAGGGCTTTGGAGGAGGCCATGATCATGTTCGCCATGGCGATTATCTTCGCAGTAACGAATTTTCGATCTGCAACTCTTTGTGCACTCTCTTCTTCTGCTGTGGTTGTGTTTTTTTTTCTTTATTTTCAGGGGATTTTTGGCTGGGGTTTGTGTGGACTGAGAAATGGAGTGGGCCTAAAATCCTATCTCATTCTACGCCGCACAATTGATTGAAGATGAACTTCAGTTGAGCCATGGCCTCAGCAATTAGGACTAGGAGTGTTCACTCGTCCAAGCCTCGGGTTTTATCCGGATCCATGTTTGCCTTCTCGGGTAATCAATAAAGAAGAGGATCTTATTTTACGGGTGGGTCCGGATAATCTTATTCGGATCAATTAGTAGATCGATTCGGGAATGTGGACCAGACAGACCCATCAAAGCATTCGGGCATTAACCATTTAAGATCCCTAATAAATTAATAAATTGTAGGGGTGAGCAAATGGCCAGGTTCTAGGTAGGCTATTATGTGGAATCGAATGGAACTGAACCACAAAGGTTAAAATTAATCTTAAAACTAATCTTGACAGAGTAGATTTTGATTTCAAAAAACTTGAAGGTAGGTTCTAAGTTATGCTTTAAAATTGAACCAAACTGACCATGCTCATCCTTGTGATAAACTATCACAATACAATAATTTTTGGTTAATAAATCCAATTGAATCGCAGTGTAAAATCGCTTTAGCTCAGCATCTGCACTCTTACCAAATGCAACCGATGTGTCTATTGCGCCCAATATGCAAACTGAAAACAAAGCCCAGTGACCAAGGTCCTACCTATTGTGCCCAATATGCAAATGGAAAACAAAGCCCAGTGATCAAGGTACAATATATTGGTGATCAGGCTGCAGATCGTATTAATCAAGGTTCAAAATGTCGCACGGTATCAGCAAATATTGTAGGATACATATCAGTTTTTGAATCCATCAACGTTCAAAATGTGTCATGCACACCACATCAGCAATTAAATGGAATCGGAAAAAAAGTGGCATTTGGCATTCCTATTTCTTAAAAAATGTTTTGTAATTGGAAATGAGAGGTTTCTTGAAATGTCAAATTGATGTTTCTTAAATCGCCTGGGTGATCCTGAATGGCCTTTGTGACATGGTACATTGAAATTTGAAAAAACTGATTAATTTTCTAAGATACCAACAAAGTTGTCATTGTAAATATGTCGTAATATTAAGTCAAATCACTTTAAACGATCAATCAGCCTATATCTCTTTCTTTTGTGTGTTTTTCAAAAAAACAGGTAAAAAGAAATACCTATTGTGAAAACATCAGTCTATTGTTTATTGTTTATGTTTAAACATTAGAACCCCTCCTAACATGTCTATTGTGAAAACATCAGTCTGAAAAAAATGAAAAAAAAAAAGAGTTCCTGACCTTTTAGATCATGCAATATTGCAATATGAAATGATTCTGCACAAGAAAAAATCTGAGAACATAGCACATTGGGAACATCTCCCCCTGTCCATGTATGTTAAATTCACGAGGAGATGTTCCCAATGTGTGACTGGATACCCATGCCTTTATTTTGCTCGCAATGCTTTTGCTTTCAAGAGATCCAGTCTCTCACTATGGAGGGGACCAATGATTCATCAACCTGGTATCACAACATTGAACTCTAATTTCAATGGAGAGTGATCAGCTAAATAGTGACTTGTTAGCTACTAGGTAGACTTGCCATTTCACAACAGCTGAAGTGACTGAAGTTAAAAACTTATTGCTTTGTATTTTAACGAATAGGGACTTATTTGGGAGGGTTGAATCTTTGATTGAGCTGCTTTAAAGAAGCCACTTAAAGAACTTCAGCGGAAAGCCATATTTTTGAGACCAGATCTCCTGCAAGTAAAAACTCTGTGCATAGAGCATCCAAGCGTACATTGGGAATATCTCCCATACATGTATGTTAAATTCATGGGGAGATGTTTCCAATGTGCAGTTAGATGCTTGTGCTTTCAGAGTATGCAAAGTTTTTGCTAGCAGGAGATCCCATTGTATATTTTCAACTTACTATATGAGTACGTGGATATTTTTTCTGTATCTTTGATTCTTACATGGGTACAAGGATTATTTGTTATAATTGGCATGATGTCTGCCCACCTGTCATAGCATATTTCTGTGGCTGATAATAATTTATGTGGAATCTGTCCATCTGCTTTACCAAGTTTCTTCTGTTCTCTCTTTCAATTGCAGCAAAACTGTAAAAGATAAGGTTCAGCAAAAAAGTAGATCTTCAATAAAATGGACATAGCAAAACTCGTTTACAATCAATTAAGCTTGATGCATTTCCAGATCATTTGCGCATCAGAACCTTTGTAGTTGAAAACATGGGAGTCAACCCAAGAACATCTCAATTTAGACCATAGAGCTGGCTTTGGAAGTCTTTGTTATTTATGTTCTATGGATTACCTACATGCATGTTAGGTGCCGAAAACCATTCCCTTTCCATTGTCTTCCTCCAGTGATGGGGTACCTTCAAGGCTATGTTGCCTTTCATAGAAAAACTTACACATCCAATGCAAACCGTGAAGGGCGAGTTTTCCCTTGTATCCGTGTTCTCATCTGAAGCCACATTCTTGAATATGGAATACATCCTCTCAAAAACTGAGATAAATTGAATTCTGAATGTTTGATGAGTTCTCTCTCATCATCTTCAGGTTGATGGTAATTTTCATTCTTATCTTTATCTTTATCTTTGTCATCTTTATCGCCACAACTGTTATTATCATGACTATCATCATCTTCAGCAAGCTGTACAGTATCCTCAACAGTATCCGACCCTGATGACAACCTATAGAAAATCATTTTTAGTACCAATTTTACCAGGCATAAAGCATAATATGTAAAATGATTTGTAGAAGCCACACAGTCAGGATGGGTTAGTTGGGTTGAGGTTTTCAGGTTAGGTTGGGTTCAAGTTAGCCCAATTTCTTCGCTCCTTTATAGAAAATAAATTGTTCTCACTAAGCTTTTTCTTTTTAGGATTGACCGATTAAGATCAACTATATACATGGACAAAGTTATGGTGCTTTAGGAGTCCCATACTTTTTTTTTTTTATGCTTGGAGTCCCATACTTTATACCAAAAAATTATTGCCTGTAAAGTTAAAATTATTGGTACATATACACATAAACATGCACGGATGCATACATGCATATGTACATTACACATATTACACATTTATATAGACAAATATGAAGACATGTCAGTTTTGGGTTGGGCTAGGTTTTCCCAAGGCCTCAACCCTAACCCAACTCATCTCAAAGTCAAGTCAGGCCATAGTTTTCAACCATAATCCTCACCCAACCCAACCTGATTTTTTCGGGTTGGGTTCAGGTTAAATGTTAACCCAGCCCAAGTTGAACCCCTGAAGGAGTATATCAGCAGCCAGAACCATCTAACCAACTAAAACCACAAAGAATCTAGCCTAAAAATCAGATTGCCCATCCTACACTTGGATTTTTATATTAGATCTTTACAAACATCACCATTTAACAATCCAAACAGATGCAAACAATTGCAGATTTTATAATGTCATCATGTTGATTTTTCAGACCATTTATTTGAGCAAAAATGAATGAATCTAAAGCTAGTGGCAAAACCACCAAAGAGTTTATATATATAAGCTATTGGCACAGGGTCATGTGAGTATCAGCTTGCTCGAAACCAACTAAGCCCAACCATGGGTAGCCAGGCATGGTTTTAATTTTCAGAGCAGATCAATGAACAGGCTAGACCAGGACCAAAGAGATACTTGCATGGCCCATTAAGATTACACATATTCTCTAATTATTGATAATGATAGCATGCAACCACGAAAATAAAAAAGTTATATAGGGGGCCTTACATTCGGTTCCCTTTACGATGTTTAGATCGTCTCTTCTCTGACTCAAAGCTAAAAGAAAGTTGCCTAAAAAAACAAAGCTGCATACGCCAAAACAATAAAGATTAGCAGAATAAAAAAACTTGGAAACATTAAACTTCTAGAAAACATATTCCAGTTCATCTCAAGCATTCAGAACCAAGTAAATAAAAAGGAGAGGACAATAAGAAGAGATTACAACACAAAAAGGCCATAAAACAGAACCAGGACTATTTCCAAGTATTTGGAACCAAAAAAACTGAAAAAGAATAGAATGTGAAAAATATATAACATTAATTAAGCCTAGTGGAGATTTAAACAAAAAACTGTATGACACATAAACACTTGCAATTCATCCATAAAACAGCCAGAGAGTTTGCTTCTGATGGAACATAAAAGGGTCCCACACATTAAAAGCATCTAATGCCTTCACAGGGAAAATTTATTTCTAACCACCAAATAACAGCTAGAGGGTCTATTTCATACTTCATGAAGGTGTGTGGACAATATGTAAAAACCATGTATATGATTAAACATCAGATAAAGAACTTCCCCCTCATAAATAAGGGAATCCTCACCACTTGAATGGCTATTGTTACTCAAGAACAGTCGTTTCTCCTCTATCAATGTAAAACTCCATGAGTTCCAATAAACTGGAATAGATTTTCCTTTTTGTGCTGAAAATTAACTTGAAAAAAAAAATACAGATTTAGTGGATTCAAGGAGATGGTATAACCTGATTCACAACTATGTCTGTTGGAAAATAGCGTTCTCTATTCCTACCCAATTGTAGATGCACCATACTTTGGTATCATGTAGCATCTACTTGGTACATTTTACAACTACAAGGAGAACCTTCTAAAGTCTATTAGCAACTCAAGAATAAGACTTAAACTAGAAAGTGAAAAGAATTTGGCCACCATGTGATTGATGAAGAGAAAGAAGACCAAGCATAATAGCTTCTACTTGTGGACAAATTTGGGTCAGCTTCATTAACATACAATCAAAATAATCAATAATGATATAGTATTCCTTAGATCTCTATTTTCACAACCATGCATGATCAACAGGTACAATAATTCAAGCTTCCTATTTACCAATCAAGTGTTCATGTAGTATCATTTCACTGAAGTGTAATCTATACTCCTTATGAAGAGACATAAATAGATCTTTAAAATATTCACCCAGGTTATTATGTATAGCAGGGACCAGCATTAGGTGGCCTTTTTACAGTTGAATATAAGCAAATGACTTTTTTTTTTACTTTCCAAAAAAAAGTCATTTTCTTATATTCAACTGTAAAAAGGCCATTACTCAATGCTGGTCCCTGCTATGCCTATGTGGAATCTTGGGAGGAGTGAATCAGATACAGAACTAACATCCAAGGATTCTTTTTGCATGAAATGGACACTCTCAGACTTTAAGCCACATTTGCATGCTTATCAGCCCATGATTTTACAATCACACCATCAAGTGTATGGATATGTTTATATAATACTAATTGTTTGCTAAAGTATTTAATAATCAAAGTAATATCATAATTATAAAATGAAAGACCGATGCAGGCCATGCTGCTTACATTCATAATAAATGAAATTTGCACCCCGACAAATCAAGTAACTTAATTATAAATTGTAATGATGTCATATTAAAATCTTATGTTCATATTTTAATGTACACAAATCTTATGTCCAAGCATTGTGTAGCCCCTTGTAGCAAATATATATTACACTGATGTCACCAACTCACCATACATCCAAAAAAAGAGTAAGAAGTACATTTGACCAGTGCACACCTGATCCCCATCCTTGATCCCAAAATTTCGGAGACGTGCTTTGTCATTAATTAGCTTCTGATCTTTAAAGCACAGGCAGAAATGGCTCCAGACATGTGACCTGCAATTTTACAGATTTTAGCAAAAGTTTGCATAAAAATAGTAAACTGCATAAATTCTCAAGGAAGAACAAGCTGGAAAAGCATCCACCAGGGCCATCACAAATTCAAAATTGGGTTCAGGGACTACATTATTAGCAAATCAATCAATGAATCACTTTCCTTTTAATTTCAATAAGAAAAAAAATATTAATCCCAACTCTAATTCAATGCTGAACCTATAATTATTTTTTCTCCCTTTCCTTCCTTTTCAAGGATTGTTTTATTCAACTCAGTCTGTAGATTGACAATGAGCATACCAAGATATGTTGTCTTCTCCCTCCTTGATCGACGTACTGAAGACATCCTCCACTGCCTGCTTAAGTTCCGCCACGGAACCCATTTTAGCAACTTGAACATCTGCTTAGCATTTAGAATCCAAACAAATTTAGCACCGAAGACCAAATAAAATGCGCATATACATTACGTTCCAAAGAAATGCAGAAGTGAAATTGCAGTTACCGAAGCATGAACCATCCAATTTGAGAATGGTGAGCCTAAGGGTCTGTTGTGGGAGCTTGTAATACTTAAAGCTCCGGAGAGGGAGGTCATCACTGTGGAGCCGCGAGAACGACCGCGTACCACATTCAGGCCTATCAACCGAAAGCCTAGGGCTTTCGTCCCATGCAATTTTTAACATCATATTCACGGAACCCGTCAATCCCTCCTTTTCCCCCTCAATCAAACGCCGACAACTCAGACCTCCGAGATTTCTCTTCTTAACTCTGTATTTTATGAAAGGTTTTCCCGCGGTTTCTCAGAGACATTTACAGGGTCTGAACGAGATTCCTGAGAAGGAACAACACGCATCCCTTTTGGCGGGTTGGGTTTAGGGTTAGGGTTTGCATTTTTCTTTTCTTCTGGATTTGCTTAAAGGCTCTGTGTCGACGACGACGAAGAAGAAAGAGCGACGGGAAAGGTTTGATCTGAGGAGAAGGCGGAGTGATTGGGGCACATCTGGTTTTGATATATGGGGCGCATCCCTAGTCAAAAGACAAAAAGAACCAAAATTTGTTGCAACAGAAGTCAAAATACAGGGGTTTATTTGTCTTTCGAAACGTATACTACCTGATTAAATTAACTAGGTGTCCCTTAACAAAAAATGGGATGTGCCCAGATCATTCCCTTCATTTTATTATTTTTATGTGCTATTTTCCGTCGGTTGGTTTGGCTTCGGAAAGCGGGGACGGTTGTTAAGAATATGTCAACAGTCAAACCTGATAGTTCTCAGATGTGCATAGGCTGAATTTACCGTTTTGTCCTTTCATAGTTCATACCGCAACCGCACCGTTATGGCCAAACTCGGCCCGGCCCATGATCACCTCCATTGGTTACATCTTCTTTATGGGCCGAATCAAGTCCTTCTCCTGTCCTTTTGGTCTATTTTTCTATTAAAATTTAAAACATATGTAGAAATGTGGGTGTCAAGGATTAAGGAATACCACGATTGGATATATATCCCATGAGTCATGCATATCGGCATGATACACTTTCATATTGGATGTATTGCATTATATTAGTGGATATAGTCTGATATACATCAATACAGAAGTATATCTGTGTCTAGTTTGACAAAATTATATATTTCGTATTTTTGGATTGTTTGTCATTTTTAATAAAAATTAAAAATAATATTATAAAAATTAAAATAAATAATTTAAGATTTTATTTTTTCAAATAAAATAAAAACTAAAAATTACAAAAATATTTCATCTACCTTAGATGATTTATATATTTTATTTTACACATAATTATACGTTAAAAATGAAAACATAGTTATTACTTGAAAAAATAGAGTTATTATATAAAAATACTAAATAAATAAATTTCCCCAACAAAATTAATGGAAAAAAGAAAATTATAATTTTAAAGCTGAAATGAATGATTTAAGATTTAATTTCCTCAAAAATTTTAATAAAAACTGAAAATCATAAATAATTTATTTTATTTACCTTAAACGATTTATTTGTTTTATTTTACAAGTATATGTAAAATAAAAGCATTATATGTTAAAAATGAAAACATATTTAAAAAAATTATTTAAATAAAAATACTAAATTAACGAATATTTCCAAAATTAATAAAAATTGAAAGAGTGGTAATTATTGTATGATGTTTGAATGTTTTAGAGTCCTGGCATTGTTTGTTGTAATATTTCTCTTTATATAACCTATTAAAGTATGCATTTCTCATGTGTTTATATTTTATTCATATATAATCAACTTTTGGTTTGATATTATTAATGTATTTATGTGATTTATAAGCATTTCTCTATGATATTCAAGCATTTTTATATCTTTCATTGGGGCTGTTCACAAGTCGGGTTGGGTCGGTTTACTGCAGTTTTTCTAACCGACCCGACCTAGTCGGGTTACCTGACATAGAAACCAAAACCGACCTAGTCGGTTTGAGTCGGGTTGGGTCGGTTTCGGTTCTAAGTTCATCCCTGTGATAAAATCTTGCTAATTTAAAAAACAGTCATAAATTGAACATCATTTCAGCCATCTCCTATGATAAAATTTAAATGAAAAGTTAATCACAAAAGTTGTTCATTAATCACTATTCACTAATCCAAAGTTTCTTGCAACCATTCAAAAATTAGGTGGCCTAATGGGTTTTGGAACTTCATGTTTGAACTAGGAATTAAGTCGGTTTAGTTCGGGTCGGTTTCGATTTTCTTGTGTGAAAACCGAAACCGACCCAAATCATCGACTTAGGAATTTGCAAAACCCGAAACCAACCCGTACTGATGAAAACCCGACTGACTCGGGTTGGACCGGTCTGAATTGGTCGATTTGGTCGGGTTGAGCCTTCTTATGAACAGCCCTATCTTTAATTATCTATTCTTTGATACTTGGGTGTTTGCAAACTGAAATCGGCTTTGGTCGGGGCAAGTTGGCACGCCCTCCCACATTACATGAAAGAGCCACGCGTTTCACGCCATTTGGAGTTCTTTCTTTCCCGCTTCACTCTCTCAAGAACCGAACCTATCGAACCCTTATCTCCAATCGGTGGCGACCAACGGCATCAGCGGCGATCGGAGACAAAACACAGCAATTCTTCCTTCCTTTGTCGCCGGCGGAACAGTCGCCAATGGATCTGTTTGTCGCCGCCGGTTGAAGAGAGAGAGAGTGAATATCAATGCCATTAACAGGTTAGGGTCAGGTCTTTTATTGGAAAAGACAAAATACTGTATAAAGGAAGGAAGAATTGCCTGTGATTTATCGCCAGGGATGCCATTCGTTGCCGCCAATTGAAGAGGGAGAGAGTGAACAGGGGTTCGGTTCGGTTCGGTGGTTCATGCAATTAATTTCATTTGAGACTCGAGCTAAACGCCTCATACGGATTAGCAAAAACATGAGCCTATAAACATGTGGCGCGTTCTCATAATGTGAGAACGGTGTGAGCACGGATCCTGCACTGATCGAAGCGGTGTAAGCCGAACTCCAGTTAAGTGGTCTGATGAACCTGGTCTAAGCGGTCTTAGAAATTCAGCTCAGCCATGCTGTGAGGCAAAAGCGAGTCGGTATAGCTAGTACAGCTGATCTCAGACTCAGAGGAGATCTTCTTGAGGACAATTATGATTCAACGACCTATTTTACAAAGTTCATCATCCAGCCCAGCCTATACCCGCATCAAGTTCATATACAATACAGGCTGGGACTGGGCCAAGCAAGCCTTAGGCCTGATTGGCCCGGACCAGCCTAGAAATTATACGTGTATATAATATAAATGTAGAGCATTTTTTGGTATTCTAATATATATAGCATTATATCTTATATATTTGGTATAATATCTTACACGTATTTCTTTATAATAATATGTTTTGTGACAATGGAGGAATTTATATCTGGTTTTCTTTCTTAGGCTGTGTTTGGTTGCAGTGCAATTTTATTTGCACTAGTATAAATGTAAGGAAAAAATGTAAATTCTTTTTTAATTTTGTTTTGGATTTTACTTTATTCTGTTTCATGTCTTAATTTACTTCACTTAAACAAAATAAGCTAAAATCTGAAATAAAAATTAGGTCAGAATTTACACTCAAATCATTTGCACTGTCATGGTTTTGCATCAGTACAAATTTATTTACATTGCAACCAAACACAGCCTTAGGTCAGGAATCCTCAGTTGTAATTCAATTTTCCGTTGTATTTGAGTGATTTGCCTTTTTATCCTAAAATGTATGTATGTATACAAAGGTATGTATATATGGTATAGTAATATGCATATGATATTTTACCAAATATATATGGTATTATATATTTATATATACACAATAAATTTTTAAATATATTTTTTCTATAATTTTGAATATTAAAGTTGATTTTAATTCATATGGATCAGCATAGATGTCCATCCTGGGACTAGGCCCAAACATGTAATATCAGGCCCGAGGTGGAGACCAGGCTGGGCCTGGGCAGGCCTTAATTCTAATGATACCCTGTAAAAACCCAGCCTGGCATAGCCCATGATCATCCCTACTCTTTGGAGGGCTGAAGGGCAATGGCTTCTAGCTTTTCAAGGTGGGCCCCACATGAACAGCCTATAAGTTATGTTTGATAACAATTTGAAGAGCCCAAATCAACTGCAATTAGTTGTTTGAAGGGTTGTTCGCTTCAGCCGTTTTTGAATAGCTTTATCCAAAGCTCTTCAAATCAGCTGAACCAGCTTAATTGAATCTTCAGCTTCTCTATCCGAAATGAAAGGCTGCATTTGGTATGCTTTTTTGGATGTATGAAAATCTTTAGAACTAATTCTCTTTTTTAGTTCTTTTTTATGAAGTCGAGTAATCTATAAAAACCCCTTTCTTCTAAGAATTGATTATTTGGCACTTCAAAATTAATAATTTAGTTCCTAAAATGAATCATTTCTGGCTCAAGACTCATTCTTCAAGTAGTGATTCTCTGGAGCAGAATTTTAACCAAACATGGCCTGATTTACCATCTAGATTGATTAAATAGTGACTTTAGCTTGAAAATCATGTTCATAATTCAATAACTGCTATCATATAACACTTGGATTTTTTACTGAAATGGCACCGAAAGAATGAATGGTGAAACGGGATTAGTGTAGCTGACTCCATATAGTTGAGACAAGGCTTAAATGATGTTAATGATGATTAATGGCTGAAATATGAATGCTATTCATTATTTTAACTTAACTAGACTAAGAAATTTGAAAGAAACAAAGAAACAAAAAGAAGAATAGAACTTGTACAAGAACAAATGATATTTATATTTTCTTCTCAGAGAATTTGTAGCACATTAAATATCCATGATAGAATGGGCATGTAATGAAGCTTCCAAGTCAATCTATTAAAGGGTGCAATTTAGATTGGATTTGGCTTAGTTTCAGGTTAGCCCTAGCCCAAAACAATGTTTTAAACCATCTACGCTTATACTGATCCAACACAATCTTCAACTTGAAGTTCTTATTCTAACCCAACTCGATCGCCAATGACCCAATAGCTGTGATGGTCATTTGGTGCCCTCCGTCAGCCCTAGATTTTACCATTACACTAAGCAATGACCCCTCATATTCGTATAAATGCAAACGCAAATTATGAATACGAGCAATACATGGATATTAAATTATAATGTTATTTTAGAGAATTCAGATTTAATCCTCATACAACCGTTTTCACATCATCCTCACAGCCTTTTGCAGCTGTTCATTGAGAACATCTCAATACTTGTATGTTTTTGTGCATGGGGAGATATTTCAAATGCACGACTGCAAGGAGATGTGAAGATGGTGTGTGAGGACAGTTTTATGAGGACCAAATCCCGATTTTTATTATAGGGGGAACAGTCCATCACGAGTTTGAAATTGTGCTTCATGCATTTGCACTTTCTCCTAACAATGCTAACCAAATTATGTTTAACATACCCAATTATTTTTCAGGCTTGATCAGGTTGGGTTT